TTTTTTGTGGGGGATTTTTGTTTGTGTTTATGTCATTGTCAAAGGGAAAAGTAGCCAGTCCTCCTCCTTTCTGGATAGTACCCAGCGAACAAGGAAACTTAAAATTGCAACTTGGAGATTCTTAATTTGTAACTTTATTAAATCATGGAAATAACCAGTTCACAACATTTCCAGCCCTTTCCCTGTAGAGTTGGCAAATATTTCTGAGGCCAAGACACTGAGGGTGCATTTTGTGCTCACATTGGCACCCCCAGGGTGGCGGTAGCTGGAATGTATACTCTCCATTTCTGCTTTCGTACGTAGGCAAGGCACAGGCCCGACAATGCCCTGTTCACGGCCTTCCTCCCTCATTATACAAACATGCCTCATAAATTACAGGCCTTGGCACAGATAGAGGAGGTTGTGTTTATCTGTTATCCATGGGAGTGCCCCTTCATGTCATCAGTGTTTTTCCCCCTTTCCTTACCATATAAGGGCAGAAGTTTAACTTGGCTGGAGTCCCTTGGTCTTACACAGCAAGTTGGGTGAAACCTTCTCTGTAAAACTACAGTTTGCATGAAGTAAAAGGGCCTGACCTTCGGTCATCACTTGCTCCACTCGGGTTCGGGCAGGACTTTGGAAATATATTCCAGAGGATTAATTGTTAGGGTATTAGAATAGTCTCCTTATAGTTATTTAAGTAAAAATTGCTGTTAATTTTTAATTAGTTTAAGTTGTGTTGACTAAAACATCTGGATGCCCTAAAAAAATATGGGCCTGGTAAAAGTTCTCTTGCAAATCTGATGTTGGAGTAATATTTTGCTGTAGTGTGGCAGGCCCTTCAGTTCTGTGTATGTAGCACCATGTTGGGATGGAGGCGGGGGAGGGGGGGTCTGCTATGTTTTCTGTTTAGGTCGCTGATACCGCATAGGTCACTGATACTTTTGGGGGAGGGGAGCACCAGGGAGGAGATAGGGCTGACCTTGCAACTAACTTGAAGGCACTTCACAAGAGTAGAACTCCTCAAGGTTGTTTGACAGCAGATCTGCAGGAAGACAGTTGGTCTCCTCTGCTGCTGGAGCAGTCTCTCTTCTGAGCAGCTCATTACATGTGGGGATACAATAGCACTTTTGAAATAAAAGAAACCAGCATCCCAAACCGAAAGACTTCGCCAGCAGCATCAACACACAGGCTGTTGTTAGGAGCAGCTCACCCAGCACAGTGAGAGTGATTTCCATGCCTGGAAATAATTTGCATCTGGGGGTCTTGACCCTTCCCAAAAGCCTTGTTATTTATATCTGCTTTTTAAACAACCGGCGGCTGGCCAGGTAGCTGTAGGCTTGTACTGGCAGAGTAAGTTTAGGTAGACTGCCCAGGTGCTGGGAAGAGAGGAACCGTAGAAAGTGTCTAAAGCTCCGGATTTAGAAAATACAAACGGGAAATAAAAGCGAGGGAGCCTTTTGAACAAAGAGCATAATTCTCCCCTCCCTCCTAATAAAAAAAAGGGGGGAGGGGAGGGGAGTAAAGAGGTGAATTCTAGGAAACCAAACGAAATTGTGATCAGACCAGCATGGTCGGGCCTGAGAACCAGTGGGAGTCCGGGTTTTCCCCAGGGCAAGTTTACGCAGCGGCTGGTGTACCCCCAGACACCGCTCTGGGGTCCAGGCTGTAACCTGGGTACCTTGGTCCTGCTCTGAAACCTGTGGGGCAGCAGACAGGGGCTTCTGGGGTTGAGAGCAAGTGCTCTGTGTTTGAATGTCAGCCGTTACCTGTTAGCGTTCCTGGATGGGGTTTTCGGTTTTTATACTGCAGCTTATTTCAAAAAGGATTGAGAGGACTTGGTTAGTGGGTGGTATTGAATACAGTAACCGTCCTCCTAGTCCTGGTCAGTCTCTGTCACTCTCGGCCACTGGGCTGGGGAGTTGGGGTGGGCGTGGCTGTAGAGACCCTCCCCCTCTGGCTTAGGAAGAGGGAGGGAAGACTCCAGGGGCGAGAACCACCAGTTCCGGGGCTTCTGTGTGCTGTCCCAGGGGCCATGAGGAGAAGCGACAGAGCAGCACACAGGAGTCAGGCACCTGGGATGTTAGTCCTGTCTCCCCCTGATGGCGGTGGGCCTGAGCATTCTGGGTCAGAGATCCCACCTCTTCCCATTTTCCTGGGAAGGGAGGGCTGGAGCAGGGGTTCCCATGGAACTGGCCATCGTCTTGTAGGTGGTGGGGCGGAGAGGGTGGAGGAGTGGAGCAGGTTGCTTGTTTACAGTACACATTCTTGCCCTCTCCTCTGACCTGAATCAGAATCTCTAGGGATGTGGGCCGGGAATTTATATTTTTAATACACATTTCCATGTGGACGCTGACCCTCGGCCGGGTGTGGGAACTGCTAGACGAGGCCCAGCTAGATGACTAGCTAGCCCTCCCAGCTAAACAATTAAAGCCTCTGTTTTGCAGACCACCCGGAGGTCGGCGCTCTGTGTGCACCAGTCCTGGCTCCTGGAACACATTCCCATTCCCAGGCATTGCCTTTGAGCCCTATAAGAGATCCTGTTGGCTGGTATTCCATAGGATACAACCCGTCACGTCAGGTGGAAAGGTTCTATAAAATAGTCCTGGCGAAAAGGAGTCAGGGACGATTAGAAAACGGTGTCCAGAGCTAAAGGAAAGAGAGGTTGTGTGTGTTGCGGGGGGTAGGGAGTAGGGAGTAGAATAAGAGGGAAGAGGGACCTCTCAGGAGAGAGCTTGTGTGCAGAGGATGCTGTCTCTTACACTCACTCCGATGCCCCAGCAGTGTGGGAAGCTGACCTGGACTGGCTTGTCCCCCACCCAGAAGTTTCTGTCCCCAGATCCCAAATAGCCTCCTTTCTATGAGGACAGAGTCCTGAGGGCTGGGGCCCAGATTGAACGCAAAGCAGGGAACTTGGTGTGGTGGCTACAAAAGGCAAACGAACAACAGCAAAAATCATTTTTAAAATGTTGTTGACATTTCTCTGGCCACACCACCTGTAAAATAGGGAAAGGAGGGGGAATACTTTGGAGTACATGATCTGTTCACTCTACTGAGGTTTTTTGTTGATTGATTTTGCTCTTCACTTTGTTTTCCACTTTGAGAGTTGCTTACTTGTTTCCCCCGTTCATAAAAGAATTAAATTTTACTGGGCCTGGAAAATATAGAAAATGAAGAAAGCAAACCTGGCCCAAAACTATACCCTTAGTGTCTACTTCTCCCATTTTTTTTAATAATAGGGCCGAAGACTTAAACAAGACAGTTCCTTATACTTAAGGAATGTGTTACCCCTATCTCCCTTACCCCTCCTCCAAAAAAACCAGCCCCTGCAGGCAGACTTAGTGGGGCCATTCCTCACTGCGCACCTACAGTCTCCTTGGTGGGCCAGCACAGTTGTAAACCATCCTCCTCAGATTCATTTCCTGTTTCCCACTGCTCCCTGCCTCCGCCAGCCAGTTTTTACTACATAGTTAATTTTTGACAAGATGAAAGTATATTTGAATGTTTTTATCGAGTCCTTCACCAAATGCCCTAATCACTTATCTTTCCCAGACAAAACTTGGCACAGTTGAGCAAAGAGCTGAATGTTCTTGTACTCCTTTGATTCAAGGCCATAATCACAGCCTCCCTCTAACTGTGTGTGCATTTCGGACTGTGTATGTCATGTGTCCGTGAGCTAAGAAAGTTGCTTTTGTTTAAATTATCTTGGTCATACTCATTTTACTCAATGGACATTTGCTGAGCTCATACTCTGTGCAGAGAGAATCATGATTCCCTGTCCATAAGAAGCTAACAGCTGAGTAAGGAAGACTGGAATGTAGCTAGGGAACTAGAATAGGTCCGTAAGTGTGTGTTGTAATTTTTAGAAGACTTTCCATGTATCTTGAAAACCCCATCACCCCATGATAAGCAGACATTCAAAATGGGTGAGGATGAAGAAATAGTATAATACTTGATTAATAAATCCCATATCTCACTTGCATAATATTTATTTTTTGTGTTAATTCTCACCCAAGAGCATTTTTTCCCATTGATTTTTAGAGAGCATGAAAGGGAGGGAGTAACATTGATGTGAGAGAGACACGTTGATTGGTTGTCCCTACTGGGGCCAGGGATCAAATCTGCAACCCAGGTATGTGCCCTTGACTGAGAATCAAACCCAGGACTCTTCAGAGTACAGGCCAAATGTTCTAACCACTGAGAAATATGGCCAGGGCTGTTTACATGCATAGTATTTAAACAGCTGCCAATACAAGTGTATGTAATGGACCATCTTCAGTCTCCAAGTGTTCTGAGGCTTTCACCAGTAGATGATCATTGAATCCCCCGGAAAGAAACATCTTATTTCAGAGACAGATACAAGTAAAAACAGTATCTACTGCTTTTGACCTAAGGAATTTGAAATATTTCTTGTGGCAACCTTGACTTCTAAGAAATTTCAGGAGGGTGGGAATGGCTGAGGAGAGATCATTGCAGAGCCGAGGGGGGGGGGGGTGCAGCATGTAATACTTTAAACAAAGAATTCCAAATTTTAAGAAGGGAGAGAGGGAAAGAGGGAGGAAGGGAAATTCTAGTAGGCTTATGTCGGAAACACTTGGGAAATTTGTCTTGGCCCCATTCCAGTGTGGCTAGTTACTCTGAAGGGATTTCCGAAAAGGGGCTTTGGAGGAGGGTGCTGGATTTAGTAGTGTCTGTATGGTAGATATTTTAGGGCCTTTAACAGTCAGGGAAAGCCAGTGTGTTGAAATCTATGGAAGGAAGGAGCCAAGTGAGAAAGCATTTGCTAATGGTCCATCTTCCCAATGAGAATGGAGTATATGGATGTGTATATACACAAATATGGACATTCCATATGTACATCAATGTAGGAGCTTATTCAGGAGCTCCCAAGTGCACTTAGGAGTCGCTCACCACAAGGCCCTGGCTTCCCATCTGAGATCAGCATTTCAGTCTCAGCCACTTCCTGAAGGCACTACCCTCACTTCCCCCAACTCTGAACGCCTTTTACTCTCTCTGCCTAGGCCGAAGCCGATGTCGCTTCTCTGAACAGACGCATCCAGCTGGTTGAGGAAGAGTTGGATCGAGCCCAAGAGCGTCTGGCAACAGCTTTGCAGAAACTGGAGGAGGCTGAGAAGGCAGCAGATGAAAGCGAGAGGTGAGGACGTCTCGCCCAGCCCAGTTTTTAGCATCGGCCTTTGCTCCTGGTGGGCCAGGAGGGCTCCTCTGATCTTGGGGCTTAAGGATTTTGCAGTCTCTTGGTGGGATTATTTCCTCTTTTGATCCCAGGTGTGACTTGGTTGGTTTTGTTCATTTACATTTAGTGGTGAATTTGTTGGTTTTGTTTATTTAACATGGGTGCTTTCAGGTAAAGCACAGAGCGGCTTTCAACCCCAAGGTTACAAAGAAGAAAAAGATCCTCTTCCTGCCCTCATAGAGCTCACCATCCAACAAAGGAGATGACGTGTAAACAAGAAATTCTAGGGATGCTTAATAGTTCTTTCATTCCTGCTGGCCCCGGAGCAATGAGGCATTTTTAAAAAGATGACTGTTTTAGGCTTAAGTAAAAATGAGCTGTCAGTTGTCGGATAGTCCAACAAACAGAGAAAACACAGATAAAGCAGAAATATGTTTTGCAAAAGCAAATTGCTTTGGACTTAGCAATGCTAGTAAGACACTCACACATGTAAATACAACCAGATATTGTTTCTTCTTCTTTTTTTTTCTTGCCCTGACTGGGAATCGAACCGATAACCTCCTAGTTCATAGGTCGACACTCAACCACTGAACCATACCAGCCGGGCTACTTGTTTCTTCTGAGCCTGCTTGCTCCCACTGTAACCTGGCTCTACCCGACTTATTGCTCCAAGATCTACTAGCTTTGTGGTAGGAAAGGAAGACGGTGGCCACGTAGACCAGCAGCGTCGTGTGTTTTGGAAGGCATTGTCTCAGCTGCTGAAGTGAATGCATTCATATTGCATAGGAACCCTCCTAGAAAGACTCCCTGAAACCAGAGAGAGCTCTGCTGCCTAAGGGATGACACAGCAGAGTGGGGGCTCCAAACACTGCAGATCTGGGCTGGGGCCTGGGCAGGTGAACACAATCAATCATTTTGTCCATTTCTTCGTCTTGGAAGTGATTTTCTGCTCCCTGCCACATGGATAACGAGTGATTTCAGACTGTAGGATTAAAGAAGTTTTTAGCTGAAGTTTTCAGCCCATAATTCACAGATGCTTATTGTTTCTTCTCTAACCAAGAGTTTTGGAATTCTTTAAGATGACTCACCGTCTTGAACAGTGTACACATACCCGTGGTTTTGTGGCTGACTTCTTCCTGAAGCACACTTGCTATTGAACCTAAAAGGCGATGATCTGAATCTGGCAATGTTGTTTAGACTTTGGAGAGAGAAGGAATGTCAGGATCTTGACTCCAGTCCCCTGGTTTTACAGATGAGAAAACTAGGGCTTAAAGACTGACTGACCTACCCAGCATCCCACAGCCACCTTCTGGCTGAACTCGAGTCTCCTGAAACACATTGTATGGCTTCATCCGGAAATAGTGGCTTCTTTATCTCACTGTGTACTCAGATTCTGGCCTGTGAATCGCATGTTCACATGAATGGTTATTCTGTAAATCTGTAACATATTGTAAATCAGTTCACGTTTTCCAAAACTTAACATCATGCCATAGGATCCAAACCCACGTGTCAGCCTCGAAGACGGTGTCAGTGCTGTCTGTCGACACCTCTGCTATGAAAGAGTTCCATTAAAAGGAAAACTCATTGTTTCTTATCTCAAGTGTAAGTTTGACCCATACGAAACCGCTGTTTATACAGGTTTGACAGGGTCAAATATCAGCAATTTCATATGGTTCAATCGAATATTTATACTTGTGGCTGATGAGGTAAGAACAACTACCTTCTTTGTAGGAGGACGTGTATGAAGATAAATGTGCTTTTGTTCTAACTTTCGTCCATTTTCCAGCCGAAGCTTCCCACAAGGAAAGGGAAGAAATCCCATTATTTGTGTAACAAGGGAAGCCTGTTGGTCTCTCCTGTTGCCCTGCCTTCCTGTTTCACACAGGATCCTGACACGGTACCTTTCACTTCACATTAGATTCCTGGACAGTTTCACCAGTACGGGGAGCAGGAGGTTTCACTCGCAGTAAACAGAAGCATATATCTTTTTGCCTCAGCACTGGAAACTTTTGCTTTGCGGCTTGGAAAAGAAAAGTGGCTGTGTGCTGCTCTATTTTGGTCTGCTCATCACACTAAGCCTCCCACGCCTCTGCAGTGCAGGGTGTGGGCTTGTGGAAGTCACCTCTAAATCTGGGGTCTTGTTGCTTGTCTTCCTTTTCAGAGGCATGAAAGTCATTGAAAGTCGAGCCCAAAAGGATGAGGAGAAAATGGAAATTCAGGAGATCCAACTGAAAGAGGCCAAGCACATTGCTGAAGATGCCGACCGCAAGTATGAAGAGGTCAGATCCTGGGGCCCAAAGCCTCTCAGACCCCCAGCAGTGGCCCGGGGTGGGGGACAGGAGCCGTGCACACACCCTTGCATTCTTCAGTGAAACTATCAACTCTACTTCTTGGCAGAAATGGTGGTTTTGAGAAGCAGAGTTCCTTTGTCTGCAGAACACGGTTCCTATTGGTTCCTGCGGGGGCGGGGAGGGGGGGGTCCAGGCTTCATCATGAAGTGATCAGTACTGGGAAAGACCAGAGCTTCTCCCCCTGCCCCTCCCCTGCCCCCTAAAGACCAGGACAAAAGCTGTTGGCCAGGAGGAGGGAGCGTTGCCTCCTGTGTCTGTGGAAGGAGCCTCTCCTGCTGTCACCATGCACATAGTTCTTGGAGTGATTGCCCTGCATGGTTCCGTCCAGGCAGCCTAGAGACATGGACTGCATACTCGCTCGGGTGATTGATCACTGAGGAAGTTTTCAGTGTGTCCTCTCTTCTCACGACGGCATAATTCCATCATCTGCACAGGTTCACGGTTAAGTCAGCATCTGGTCATGTCCCCGTGAACACCATTTCCTGTGATAACAGCAACATCACTGTTAGGGTTTCAGTCAGCCCTTCACGCACCGTGGCTGTCCTGACAACTCTGACTCTCCTTTTTATAATTGATAGGATTATTTCCAGATTACATTATGCCGGTTAATTTTGAAATGCTTCAGAGGATTCCTTCTCTCAGGTTCTCTCTTTTACTGAATACAGATTTGACTCCATCAGTCATCTCACCGGCTCAAGTCATGTCGGCTTCTCTTGCTGTTCCGTTGGCATTGTTAACCTCCCCCACACAAAGGAGCTGATAGGTACAGAGCTCTAAATGGATGCAGCCCTCAGGATTATTTTCAGTGTGTTCTTGGCAGTCCCTGCCTCTTGGGCATATAAATGCATCATTTCTCATCATGCTGCTATTTTTTGAGATTATGAATTTCATAGTTCTCCCTTCTTCCACACTTTGGTTTGGGCTGCTGTGTAATTATACAGACTTCATCTGGGTCAGACTTAACATGAGACTGCCCGCCCGTTCATAATGAACCACCCTGGTCTTACGGGGCAGAAGCCTCTGGTCTCCTCCCATTGGCTCTCCTGGTGGAGAGCAGCTTCTCTCCAGTCCACAGGAAAGGGGATCATCGTATCTGTAGACAAGGTCTTCTAGGGGCTGATGGATCCACCCCCCTCTCCCCCCAATAACCCTTGACTCACGGCTCGCAAGCCCACAATGTGTGTGTGTGCGTTGTGTTTGTCCCGCCACAGGTGGCCCGTAAGCTGGTCATCATTGAGAGCGACCTGGAACGTGCCGAGGAGCGGGCTGAGCTCTCAGAAGGGTAAGCGGGCCCGGCGCCAGGACGCTGTGTGTGGGGTGCTGCAGAGCAGTGACTAAACAGCATGACCCTCTGGCAGCTGCACATTTACCTGTCTCAGCTCCGGGCTCCTCGCGTGCCCATTTGACATGGATGAGCCACGAGTCCAGAACACGGAGGACTCGTGTGGGGTGTCTGTGTATGAATGCGTGTGTCACTGCATGCCTTACCTGCACACTGATTTTTGAGAATGGCCTTGTGCATTTCCTGTGTCCACTAACAGCCAAGTTCGACAGCTGGAAGAACAGTTAAGAATAATGGATCAGACCTTGAAAGCATTAATGGCTGCCGAGGATAAGGTACTGATGGCTCATGCGTGGTTTTTAGGTTTAACTCCAGCCCAAACGTCTTTCAGCTTCCAGTACCTACTGGTTCGTTTGGTATAACAGCCGCACCTTCACTACGCCCTCCGCTATCTTGTATCTCGCTTTAAGTGCTGTCTTTGGGTTCTTTGTACTCCTTTCCTTCATAAATGCTCTTTCGGTGCAGCCAAAAAAAAAAAAGAAGCCAAATTATCACGCTTCACAATCGCTGGATTTTGTCACCCTGCCTTTCAGCTTTTGCAAGGTTGGGGGGCAGTGGCCCTCACGAAGGTGAATGTTTTACGGCCTGATGATTTGGCTTCTTTAAGGCGGCCCTTTGTTCTCTGGGACTCGGTGTTCATTTTTTCCCATCCTTCTCCTTTTTCTCTCCTCCTTCCTCTGGCTTGTCTCCCACCCTTTCTGCCTCTGGTCGAAAACATTAGCAAATGTGCCGAGCTTGAAGAAGAGTTGAAAACTGTGACCAACAACTTGAAGTCACTGGAGGCTCAGGCTGAGAAGGTAGGCCCGGAGCATGGTGTTGGGGAAAAGGCACCTTTTCTGAGCTGCTCAAAAGACACCCCCTTTTTCTCTTCGGAGGCCCTGACGATAAAAGCAATTGTCCTTGAGGCATTTTTCCAAAAATGCAACATTTTGAGGTGATTTCCTGATGGTTATCGAATGGCAGGTTCTCTCTCTCTTTTTTTTTTTTTAATAGAGAATATATTTTATGTTGAGCATGTGAGTCCTCTGGAACCATTTAATCTAAACCCAGTGCCAAAGGGATGTTATCTTGTTATTATCCCGTGTAAAACAATAGGCAGGAGAACAGAGGCTGTATTGTACCGTGCCATTTGATCTCGGAGGCTCCATTACCGCCAGAGAGATCCTCAACATCTGTTCACTGGGCTGGCGCGCGCTTTGTATTAGGGGAGAGGAGGATAGGGTGAGCCCTGGCCTGACATCTGGAACGTTCTTTCTAATTACAGTACTCTCAGAAGGAAGACAAATACGAGGAGGAGATCAAGGTCCTTTCTGACAAGCTGAAGGAGGTAATTTATAACTGTTTGGGGCAAAGCCACCTGAGCTTTAAAGGAGCTTGTTCTCACGGAGCAGGTCAGGGCCTTTGCATTTTCACGTCGTGCTGCTCCACCTCAGTGGTCAGCAGTGTCCCGGGGTTCCTGTGCTGTGCTAGCTGCACCTCGCCCTGCGGTGGCTGGCTGGCTGGCGCGTAGTTTCCGGCCCAGTCTATGGGTGCTGTGCTGGATTTCCATTTCCTAGTTCTTCCCTGTACTCCTCGCTCCTGGAACCCTAAAACATTCCCGTTATGACCGAAACAAATTGAATCATTACAGGCTGAGACTCGGGCTGAGTTTGCTGAGAGGTCAGTAACTAAGTTGGAGAAAAGCATTGATGACTTAGAAGGTAAGGCCTTCAGTTTTGTTTTTACTTGAACCCTTATTAAGGTTGAGTCTCGACCTGGCAAAAATGGTTTTCTAGTCCAAGTGCATTCACCTTGACATGTATTCACCTTGACACATATATTCACCTTGGCTCTCGCACCTTCCTCCTGTCTGTCCTTGGGGTTTCATTCTTTGGCTCTTAAACTCTCGGACCTGAATGATCTGCTCACCAGGTAGCTGAGCCACCCGACGGGGCACATCTGTTTGGTCACGGCAGGTGCCGTCCAGTTTTCCCTCGCACTCCTCGGTGGGGCAAGGTTATTTTTCATGGAGGGTCAGGTGGTGGTAGGTGAGAGCGACTCCAGTATATTTTCTGTTAATAGTGACAACCTCCTAAGTGTCAGATGGTATGGATTTGTTCTTAGACACAGCCCATCTTCTTCCAAGTATAAATTCTTTGTAAGGGTTTGGGTTTTTTGTCATTAGTTAGCCTGGTACTGAAAGGAGTGGGGGACAACAGGACGTTGTATTTTTAGATGACACTTTAGCATTCCTCCCCTAAGATATTTAGGTTTTTATGGTAGCACCCACTCTGTGTCACAGAAATCCTAAATGTTGAGCTCAGAAGCTTGTGAAGGGTCAGCAGTGAAGAAGAAAGAATTAAAGAAAGGCTAAAAAGGATACTGGAGGTCAGGGTAGGTGATAACCACGCGAATAGAGAGGAGAGAGTGACAAAAAGTCTTAGTCCGCCCAGTGCGGCAAAATACGCAGCCATCATGGGCAGACGTGGCACAGCGCCAGCGTAAAAAGTGTGGCTCCCCGCGCTTGTCCGGCCTTCTGGGCTACTAATAGGGCGGCCTGAGTGGGAAGACCACGAGTGGTTCACAGGCACCAAAACTCCACATCCCAGCGGTCTAGTCTGGCCAGCAAGTCCGTGGTTTGCAGGGGGAGCCAGATAAGGATAACAGACGAGGGTCACAAGCTGTTGTTCCAAAACACTGCCCTTGTACGTTTTTCCCCGTTTATAGTTGCATTTGGCTGGCTGCTGCACTGTAATTAAAATACAGCTCTAGCAGAGAAAGACCTTCTATTACTCACCCAGGAGACATCCCTCGGTGGTTTTTATTTAGAGCTAAGCTAAGTTTTTATTTAGATCTTTTACTGATAGACCTACGATATTTGTTAATGATTTTCATATCGCGTCGTTCTTGTTTTATTTTCTAATGGGTTTTGTTCTCTTTGTTTTTTTGTTTCAATTCGTTTAAAAACAAAACGCACGCCTCCTGCATTGGCCACCTGCTGCGGCACCACTTCCTTCATGCATTGCCCTTTCCTTGCTGCTGTGTCGGGATGGCGCCCGCGCCACCCTCACTCGCCTTCCATCTCTTGATCACTCTCCATGTCCTTGCACCTCTGCCTTCCACTTCCTGGTCATAGACGAGCTGTACGCTCAGAAACTGAAGTACAAAGCCATCAGCGAGGAGCTGGACCACGCTCTCAACGATATGACTTCCATGTAAATGTTCATCCGCCCTGCCTGCTCACATCCGTGCGCTCATGCTAATATGATAACCTCACCGCTGCTCCCTTCTGGGCCTCCAGAGTCTCCATCTTCACTCCTTCCTGCTTCCTCTTTCTGCATAACCTAGGATAGTCATTGGTTGTTTTGTTTATTTTTTACATTCTACTAATATAAAGGCCAAGTAGATTAAGTCTGCCTACACAAATCATTTTCCCTTCAGAATCCATTCATTTCTCAATCGCTAGACTGGATTGTTCCCACAATGCAGTGAACTGGACTGTTAATGTCTTGAGTACTATCCTTTCAGGAAATTAAATTAGGCTCAAGTAAAATTAGAAAGCCATGCAGCTGTGCAGGAGCTTCCCAAAGAACTATCAAAAACGGTTTTTCTGAGATCCAATTAAATATAATGCCATTTAAAATTAAAAAAAAGAAATATGAATTTAAGAACCCTAATGTGTCAGATTACAGAGGCTCTGAGGGAAAGGAAGCCGATCCAGTACAGCTGTAAAATACCTTCTCTTTCTCACTGTTAAGAGTTGTTAGAGAAAGGAACCCTCTCCTGAGTAACCATGCGTTTAATTTTCTGTTTACATAAGAGGAATTAAAATACTCCCAATAAATACCGCAACTTGTGTCAAAGCAATGGGGTATACACACAGCACAGTGTGCGCTTGGGAGTCAATGGCCCGCTTTCATACTGTGAGGTAGTGAGGGCTGGAGCAAGTAGTCTTGTTCTCTCGAGAACCTTGAGCAGACATGACCAGTTTACACACTACTAACCAAACCTCAACGTTAAACTTAACTCTGCTTCTGCATTCTAACACGGAGTGTTTCACAGAGGGTCCTCTCCGTTGTAATTATCTGGCACTGAATTCCGGATAAGCTGGAAATTTCATTTTCCAGGCCCCACCTTAACCCGAGCAAAAAAAAAACAAAAAAAAACACGAAAGAGGGGCATGGGCCTGCTTCCTCGCAGCGTAGTCTCCACGTTACCCTTGGAGACATCACCTTGGACACTGGAGAACATGTCACCTTCTCTTCCCTCATTTGAAAAAGAGAATGTGGGTCAGATTACCTGTCTCCGGGGTGTTTTCCATAAGACCATACGTGTGGTGATGCTGTGTAGGAAATTTGAAGCATCAAATGTGATTCAATATCCTGAAATATGGGTTTAGTTCGAAATTTGTTTTAAAATTCTGTTCATGGGTCTTCTTAAAGTGGACCCCGACCTGACCCCGAGGGGCCCTGTGATGCCTCGCATCCAGAACCTGGGAGCGAGGACGGCCTTCCTCGGGTGCAGCTGGCAGCGGGTTTGCATGGCTGCTTCTCGCCTGTGCTCCGAGTGCTCCTCCTGTTGGTCTGGGTTTCCTTTTTTCCATTGTGCCACTTTTTTTTCTTTTTCTCTCACCTTTTCTCTTCATGCAGATAAGTCTCTTTGCCTCACTTGTCCCAAGACCCCTTCATCAAGCTGGGTGTTCCACCTCTCTGCGCTCTGCAGTGTGTCTCTCCTCCAGCTGACCCTGTTCTCTCTCTTAGCGTCCTGCCTTCGGGCCGGGCACACCCTGCGCTTCCTATTGTACAGAAGCTCTTCAGTTCAGTGTGAAATAAACACTGTGTAAGCTATTTCTGTTTGCTATTCTTTTTACTTCACGTTTTAGTTTCAACACTGAATAAAACTGCAAATCTGCTTCACGCATGTGAGGGTTACTTTTTTGGCTGCTGCTTTTTTTTTTTTTTTTTTTTCCCTCCCCTTCCCGTTCTGAACGTTATATATTAGTTTCAAGAGTTTCTGAGGCAGTAGTTTCTTATGGAACTTTCTAAAAATATGCTTATTCTCAGCTGGAGTGGCTCAGTTGATTGAGTGTAATCCTGTGCACCAAAAGGTTGCCAATTCAATTCTGTGTCAGGACACATGCCTGGGTTTCAGGTTCAATCCCTGGTTGGAGCGTATATGGAAGACAACCAACCCATGTTTCTGTTTCACTTCAACATTTCTCTCTCCCTTCCTATCTCTAAGCATGTCCTCAGGTGAGGAAATAATCTGTCATGCCTGCGTTCCTCTCAGAGTTTTGGTTTCCGAAGGTTAGCGTGAGGTTCTGGGCATGTGTGTTCTTTAGGGATAATGATGGCCCTGGCATGGGGCCCAGGTTAGAACCTTTGCACAGGACCTCCTTGTTGGAATCGGAAGATGCACCTTGAGCAGGGTCTTCTCTGCCAGAAGTTCAGTTGGGGGCGTGGAGCGTCCTCTGTGCCGATATTTACATGGCCCCGCCACGAGGACACGCCTTGGCCAATGGCGAAGGCTCATGGCCATCCTAATTGCTAGGCATTTACATGTTGGGAATGATGACAAAGAACTTGGATCAAGCTGTATAAGGTGAGGTTATTGTTGATCCTCCATTTACAGCACAAAGAACAGTTAAAACTTTTTAAACCTTCATTTTGATCATGAAATGACATCTCAGATTTTCTAAATCTGATTCTGTTCAAATTGAGATTTATTTTTGTGCTCTAAAGCACGTCTGTATTCTTTAGAAGAGGTTGTATATACATAATCTTTGCAGTAATAACTGGTTTGGGTCTTTATTTTTTATTTGTGGACACTTTTAAAGTATAGTCATTAATGTTACTTCTTCTCCCACCCATGCCCTCCCCCCCTCCCCCCAAAAAAGAAGTTAGTGGAAATTGTTCAGAACACAATTACTTTTTATTTGGGCTTCACTATTTACTTCAAAAACAGCAATTAAGTGATTTTATTTTTTAATCACAACTCCACAATGATGTGTACTTCTGTTTTCTAATTTCCAACATTTCTCCCTCCTCAATAGTCTAGCTGTATTTTTCATGTGTTTTACTAAATATGGGTGACCTTCATCTGTTTGTAGTTTTTGTTCGACTGAGAGGTTTGATATCCACTATTTTATATATTTGGTATACTGAATTTTTACTCAAATAAATTTGAACAAGCTGGAAATAATATCAGTTACTCTACAAAGACTTGAGAGCAGGTAATAAATACCCTAAAAGGACCAGAACGTGTGTCAGTAATGGTGTAGTAGACTAAAAATTAGATTCCAGGCAATTTCCCTCCCTTGAGAGTGTAAAGACTTCTGTAACTTTGTTTTTCTTTTTCTAAGGCTCCGTGGGCCTGCTTTTGACTTTGATTCCTGCCCTGTTTTTGTTGTTGTTGTTGTTGTTTTAAGTTCAGAGTAATAGAAGTGGGCTCCTCGGTGAGTAACCCTGCTTCCTGCAGTAGATAAAAGGACAAGTCTGCAGGTTCTGCTGAGCGTGTGCTGAGTGCACTGTGGAGGCACATCTGTGGTTTCAAAACCCTGCCAGAGACTTGCACACTCCCTATACGTAGATTCTCCATGGGGAGATGGGAAACTGATAAATTGGGAAGGCAAATCTGGAATAGCCCAAGTAGGTACGGTACACGAATGAGGAAACAGCAAGTTGATTTTATCAAGAAATTGTCAGAGCCCAGACTTCCAGTTCAGAGTGCCAGGCCCTCGCTCCAGCTGATACAGGAGCCTCAGCTGGACCAAACAAAAGCATGGCTGAGTCGACACCAGAGGCCCCAGACATCTGGGAGGTTGAGGAGAAGGGGAAAACAAATCCAAATATATAACTGGTTCTGCTCCCTGCCCTCAGGCCACCGGGGCATACCAGCTCCAGGGCAGCCGAAAGGGGCAGGTCCCCCGGGGAGGGACAGGTGTCACGTAAGCTGAGTTCACATTGATCCTCCGGATTTTCTAGGGTTTCTGCAGAGTCCTTCCATCCAGCTTGGCTGAGCACTGGCTCACAAACCGAGACATCCTGCCTGCCCTTGGCAGTAGTTCCCCATGCGAGATGTGATGTACTAGTGTGGTTAGATTTTGAAGCCCCAAAACCTATGCCTTATACAAGACACTGGAAGGAAGTTACTTGGGATATGGTAATGAGATGAATCAGAAATGTTCTTTGCCATCTTGTGGGAAGATAGATGAGCAAAGTGAGTCTGAACTAATAGATGGTATGTACAGTGGAACCTTGGTTCTCGAACTTGTCCCGGAAGGCTGATGAGGAAGCAATTTGTTAAAAAACCGAATCACTTTTTTTCCCATTAGAAATAACATAAATGGAATTAATCCACTCCAAGTGATTTACTTGTTTTAACCTTTCTAATACATAGTACATGTTAAATTTATCGAATCGCCCCCTACCAGCCTGTAAAATGTATATTATGCTGATCTCCGTGTAGATGTTTGAGATTTTGTTCACCTTGTACACATCCATCTAGCTCCAAACAAATACTATGTTCGAGAAGTAAAGATAAGTTTTTAAGTCAGTTTTGAGTGGAGATAAGTTATGATCTTCGGCTGTTTGAGTAGGTTGGCACACACCCTGTATCAGAACTGGGCAAGAGTTCAGAATGTGCACCCTGTATCATAAGGGTTGGAGGACAGGGAGCTCAGTTCTGCATTTCAAAAAGCATTAATGCAGCTATGATAATGAAAGAAAAGCCAGCCCTCGGAGTGGAGATGGAAAGGCTAAGAGGTGAGCAAAATGGGCAGGTGGGGGCTTCACCAGAGATCTCCACTAAGCGCAGCAAGGAGGGGATGTCGTGCTGGGCCCGCCTCCAGCCCCGCTGGGTTCCTCAGGCTGTTGCCAGAAACTAGATTCGGCTCAGTTCGCGTGGTGGTAGCGAGGTACAAGAGGAACCTCCATTCTCTCCTCTTCATACCCTGTTGCTCCCTTTCCTCTCACACCCCTCCGCCAAGAGAGAAATCCTGGCTCTAAGTCTGCCAGGCCTTTACCATCCACCTTCCTGGGTACAGGACCAGATGGCCATGGGGTAAGGGTAACCTGCCCAGCGAGTAACCGAGTAACCAGTGCCGGAGGTAGCATCTCTGTTCTGTCTGTTAACTCCCTCTCTCCCAGTCTAGCTAACCTCTCTTCTTCTGCCTCTTCTCTTCTGCTAACCTGCTTGCTGACCTGTCCAGATCAACTCTACCAACAACTTGAGCAAAACCGCCGCCTAACTAACCAACTAAAGCTGGCCCTGAATGAGGATTAACCTTAAGTGGCCAAGAACTTGGGCTGAATTCTAGGGATGGAGCCCACGGTCAGGAATCTAAGACGGTTAACGCCTTCACCTGTAGGGCTGCTTCTGCAGAAAGGAACATGGAAGGATTCAGCTGAAAGGCTGGTCTTGCCTGCATTTTCCTCTCATATCTGGAATATTTCAGTTCTCTTTAATCCTGAAATCTTCTTTATGGTAAATGCAATCATTATGTATATGAGTAAATATTTATAACAGTCATTTGAGCACACCTCTTTGCAACAGGAGGTCCTCTTGTTTGAATTGATACATAATGAAGACCTCAAGAAAATTGTTTTCCATTTCCTGCAGAGAACAGAGTCCTACTTTAAGTTAGAAAACCAAAGCAGAGGGGTGTGCATGTGTATAACTATATACATATATATATATTATATGTGGGGGTACTATATATATATAATATGTATATTCCTATTACATATTCATATTCCTAACTTCTAATATCTGGTGTAGTGTTTGAAATATTATTTAAATGTACCTGTGCTTGGGCAAAATAGTTTTTGAAAGCAGGCGCTCATGTCAGAAGTCCCCGGTTGTCTGAAAGGTACGCTTTTATTCAGTCTAACGGTGTTGCTGGACTCGAGTGAGATTGTCATGTGATAATAAATAGAACCCTGTAAGAATAGTAAGAGAATGTCCTACTGAAGTGTGCATGAAACATGTTGATAACTTTTTTTAATGAGCAACCGAAATAAAACATTTCGAAAGTTGTCGGAAAACCTACTTATGTCACCTCTATGTTCTGTGAGGTTGTGTTACAGCACAACTCCCAGACCTGTAACCGCCTGTAACTCAGACATGTCTGCTGTCATTAACTGCGTGCTGCCAGCACCGCCCTGTTCCCACAGCGCCCGGCCCATGGGCCGTCATCACCAGCCCCGCCTGCGCCTTGTGCTCAGGGTGGAGTGCTGGTGGGGGTCGCCCGGCCGCTCGGTGAGAGCCTTCTGTGCCTGTAGTTCCTCTGGGTCACAGACGGCTCCCTCTCCGTAGGTCCTTGTCTGGAAATGAGGAATGTCTTACAAGCATGCCTAGTCCTAATCATCTCATCCTGTGTTTGTGATTGATGTTTGCCTGCCTAAATGTACAAACCACCATTGTGTCCAAAGCGCAGCTATTCATGACTTAATTTTCTAATCCCACCACAGAGAAAGTGGCTCATGCCAAAGAAGAAAACCTTAGTATGCATCAGATGCTGGATCAGACTTTACTGGAGTTAAACAACATGTGAAAACCTCCTTAGCTGCGACCACATTCATTCATGTTTTTGTTGTTGTTTTTTGTCTTATTTTGTGTTTTTGATTTTGTTTTGTTTTTAACACCATGCTTACCATGAAACCCCTTAAATACATTTTTATTTACTTTTACCACTGTCACAAAAACACAAGTATGGCTGCATCATGGGCTGGGGAAACACACACACAAATACACAAAGGCAGGCATGTGACAGCGAGGGAGATTTCAATGTGCCATTTCCCAGGTTGACGTTGCCACACTTCATAGAGTATGCTTAGTCAGTCTAGCAACCCTCACTGAAGCAGAAAGATTTCCACTCAGAGTGCCAACGACACAATCAGCAGGAAGATCGCTGTGGGAAACAATCAGGTGTGGATGGGTGCTACGTGAAACAAAAGGTCCCACTGTGGTCTTTTGTTCGATGTTGTACAATGTAGAATTCTGTCCAACACTAATTTATTTTGCCTTGAGTTTTACTATGAGACAAGACTGTGGATTCTGTATGTCCAAATTCATTAAAGCCAAGAGTTTGTAAGCCACGCTGATCTTTCAGGACTTCTATTTCCTTCTAATCAGCACACTTGGGGGATAGCAGGCAATGTGGATTTTCACTCTTTCTGTGTCCTCATGTTAAAGTGGAAGTTTAGGCACTACATACAATTGATTAAAAAAAAAAAAATCTCTTTACGAGTGCTAACCACAGTAGCTCCCCTCCCTTTATCCACGGGGATAATGGATCCCTGAGACCACGGATAGTACCGAACCCTGTATGCTGCGTGTGTTTTCCTGTACCTACATCCCTTTTCACTTGGGGAGCACTTTACAGCTTCTCTTTGGCATGTCTGAATTGCCAGCGTCACTACTCTTGCACTTTGGGGCCATTATTAAGTAAAATAAGGGTCACCTACACACAAGCACTGTGATACTGAGACAGTCAATCCATAACCAAGAGGGCAACTAAGTGCCCAGAGGGCGGGGGTGGTAGAGTGTGGAGGTGCTGGACCAAGGGACGATGCATGTCCTGGGCGGGACAGAACGGGGCCGCACAAGGTCTCAACACGCTTCTCAGAATGACGCGCAGTTTAAAACGTATGAATTGTTTATTTCTGAAGTCTTCAATATTTTTCAACCATGGTTGACCTTTGTTAACTGAAATCGAGGACCATGAAACCGTGGGTAAGGGGGGACTACTGTACATAAAGACATTGTATAATGATATGGAATAAAATGCACATTGTAGGACATTTTCTAAACCTGGTGGTCCTGTCGTTTGTATGTTTCTACTTAGTGAACTTTGGGTCACGTGATCAACCTACCTTCTCTCCTGTATGGTTTCTTAAAGCAAAACAACATACCAAAGTCCGGGGAAAACTGGGTATCATCCTCCCCAAAAACATTCCAGGCGGCATCTCTTTTGGTCTGTTCACGTGACCACAGGCTGAAAAAATCCTCCCCCGAAGCCCTTCTCCGTGTTGTTGGTGTTAATCTGTATACACATTGAGGCTTTTTGTCGTCATTCTACTGGTATGGAGATTTCCCCTCAATTATCGGCTGAATCGTCAGCAGTGGCTTACGCACGCATCAGCAGACTGTGGGTTGAGCACCAAATCTCTGCGCTCTATCAGCAGTGTGCTTCTACTAGGAAGTCTTGCTGTAAGAGCCTTTATGATTTTTTTGCTTTTCTAACAGTGAATTCTAAATTCCAATACATCTTTATTTCCTCAGACTTGGAAACTGAAAATATCATAGGCTGTTTGACTTGAAGCAAACAAACAAGGTTACAAGCACTGGTAGTTGGCCAGACTGGTGCTGCAGGGAGCAGAGGGACATCCTCACGAGAAGCAAACATGGTAAACTAGAAAGAGCACACATTTGGATGCGTGGGTAATAGTTTCACTGGAAAGTATTCAGAATCTCTGTAGCTGCTCTTCCAAGTCTTTCCATCAGGTGTTTTCACAGAAAAAAAAAAGTGTAAGGTGAATAAACGCTCTGAATCTCAACCTTCCCACCTCTTCACCACCCAGCACTGTAGGCTCCCCCCTGCCAGTCCTCACTAGACACCTCTGCCTACCCTAGTCAGAGGCCTTTCCTAAACCCAGCACTCGCACTGTGGGAGCCAGATCCGGCTTCCTCTTTGCTAGCTGTTCCAGCTTGTCAAGTCTCTGGATCTGAAATTCTTCATCTGTGAAAGGGGAGATCAGTAGCTAGCTCTTTGGTGATTATTGTGGAGTTGGAATGTATAGCCCATGCAGTAATGTGCACAGCACAGCCCCTGCGCCTGCTTGATGACCATTAACTGCTGCTGTCCTCAGCCTGCCATGTCGGTAGGCCTCCACAAACGGTATTTACTATTCCTACTTGGTGAAGCTGGGGCAGTGCCAACTTTGCCCCAAATGACGATGGGTTTTTATTGTTCGAGTGGAAAGGAGAAGGACAGAGAGAGACATCGGCTGGTTGTCTCTTAAACTCACCCAAGTACGTGCCCTTGCCTGGAATCAAACACGGGATCCTTCAGTCCATGGGCTGATGCTCTGTCCACTGAACCAACCCAGCGAGGGCCAAATGATGGTGGTTATTCATGCTGTCCTCAGATACCTTGTGCCAGAACCTGTAGTGAGCACCTGGCAAGTGTTACTTCAGCTTCACATCTGTCCCCATTTTACTACCAAACAGGTTCGGGGAAGCTGAGGGAACCTACTCGGTTCCATATCTCACGCGTCGTGGGGTTGGGTTCCAAACCCAGAGCTGTGTGACAGCAAAGCCCCGGGTGGATCCTTCCTCTCCTGGTTTCAGACGTCTTACAGCAGAAGAAAAGCACCAACTAGACATAGAGGCAGACGAAGCAGCAGGTATAGTTGGGGGAGGAGGAAACAGGGACCACACGTGGGTGGTTGAACTTCCTCCCTGGGTTCCAGGGCTCAGATGAAATCGATTAATGAAACTTTATGCCATTTCAAAGAATTAGTACCTGATCTTCCTGATAAATAGAAAAGGGAGAACACCCCGTCTCCACATGACGCACACCTTGGGTCTGACCCATAGAGATAAATGGAACATGCCGCTCTGGGAGGTCATGGGGGAGCGATTAGGGCTCTTCGGCGTGGCAGTGCCAAGGCTGGGAGCCCGTGTGGTCACCTTTAGAGAACCATGAAGTACAGAGAAGGAATTCGGGGTTCATACTCGAAATTCCTTTGCTGAAACCAGGCAGGTTCAGACTTCAGTGCGAACAGCTGGAAGGTGCCCTATTGAGAGTAAAACACTGTGGAACTCTGCAGAGAAAAGCTTAGGGGAAGAACCTAAGCATCTTCTGAACGTTTAAATTTGTGATGAGAGTTCTGCAATCTGTTGTTAAGGATGAAAGAAAAGGGCTTTTGTGGATACAGTCTGAGATGCATGGAAGAGAACAGTTCCCCCACTTACTGATCCTAGAGGTGCTGGTAGCGTTCACTAGTACCGTGTTTCCCCGAAAATAAGACATCCCCTGAAAATAAGACCTAGCACAACTTTGGGAGAAAAAATTAATATAAGACACTGTCTTATTTTTGGGGAAACAGGGTATGTATCCTCTAGGATTTAGTACATTTAGCCTGTCTTTTCCTCCAGAAAACAGAAAAGTCTTTTTTTTTTTTCTTGAACAAATATTTGAGTGTATGTTAACCATTTTTTTCTACTTGTCAACACGATTGTAGATGTAACCTTTTTTTCAACCTACAGTCAGTTGTACAGAAAAAAAATCTGAATTACCCAATTTAAAAAAAAAAAAAAAAAAAAAAAAAGAGGTGCTCAGGGAGCCATCGTTTCCAGAATTGGAGACGGGGTTTGGAAAGAAATTAGCAATGTCGGGCAGTGCAAGAAGTGTTCTTTCCATTATGTCCACTTTTTGACACTGAGGGTTTTCAGAGCTCCATTCCTCCAGCAGAAGTCATAAATTCTGAGTGTCAAACCGAGCACGCAGCTATGCTGAGGTTTCACTAATACGAATGCAACGTTTGCCAAGTTTTTGACAAACGGGTATTGAGCTGGAGGGTGGAACTGGTTCCTCCTGCCTGTGAGTTTTATTTGCCAAGGCCGTGGGGAGCAGAGTGGAGTGCAGACCTTATCAGGGCCTGCCAGAGCTGATGCCTAACTGAAATGCCGATTCAGAGCGGGAAGAAGGCTTATGCTCATGGAGGCCTAGAGACGGTTACCGGTAGCTGCTTAGCGGCTTGCTCAAGGTCATTCAGCTGATTGGGGCAACCCCATGGAATTCAGCTCTCCTGAGGGGCAGGCAGCCCCTGTGGGGATTGGCAAGCAGAGGGGCCAGCTTTGAATCCTGCCCCAGCACTCACTGTGTGCCCTCGGCTCATTTTACCATGTGAGCAGCAAGTTGTTTATCTTTGAAGGAGATGGATGGTTTGCCTCCTCACATGCTTATGTGCTTCTTCGAAAGGCTGAAAACAAAACGAGATGAGGTTATATGAGTAGAGTCCCTCTTCCCCTTACTCTTCCTCCACTTCCTTTCTGCTCCTCCACCCTGAGCCTTCTTCCCACACTGCATTGGGTCTTTAGGGAAATTGAAAATAACTTTTCCTCTTAAAGGTGAAAAAATCCCCAGTACTATTCCCCCAGAGTGCACTCATTGCATTGCACAAATTCAAAATACATTGGTCACTCAGACCAGCTTGACTCAGTGGATAGAGCGTCGGCCCGCGGACTGAAGGGTCCCAGGTTCAATTCTGGCCAAGGGCATGTACCTTGGTTGCAGGCACATCCCCAGTGGGAGAAGTGCAAGAGGCAGCTGATCGATGATTCTCTCTCATCGATGTTTCTACCTCTCTATCCCTCTCTCTTCCTCTCTGTAAAAAATCACTAAAATATATTTTTAAAAGAAAAAAAAACCTTTAAAAGAATTATTGCAGCACACCAGTGTGCCATGACACAGGGGCTGCAAATCACTGCTTTAACCTTTTATTCTGCTCACTTCCTCTTGAACACAAAAAGGACTTTCGTATTGTC